AATCTTTTTCTGTCATTTTTGTAGAATTTGTAGGGAAGGAATTAGATGTATGTGTGCTCAGTCTTCTCTTTTTTTCCAAAATGCTAATGTATTTTCTAGTTCTGACAGTCTGTGAGTCTAAGATGGATGACAAATTGCCCAAAAAAAAAGCAAACCCCACCTAATCTCAACTATGCAAGGCTGTGTTGCACAGAATATAGATTTTCCTGACTCCTGGGGCTTCCTGTACTAGCCACTCACTTGCTCAGTTCCACTATTGTCCTAGTAGACGGCGGCAGAAAGTGTGGCGAAATTCCCAACAACTTGTTTTACAACTTGTCTTTTCTGGTAAAAAGAACGCAGAAAGGAAAATGTTAAAGGTCATGGCTAAAAGTAAGAGTTTGCTGTTTTACATTATTAATGTAATAATTCCAATTAGTTTTAATATTTTAATGTTTTAAAATCACATTTCTTTCAATAAATAATAAGCAAAGGAATGTATTATTTTAAGATGTTGTATTTGTTAAAAATACTTTCATGCCTATCCTATGATTATACTGATTACACGGGGTATGTTTAGATAAAGAAACTGAGGCATAAAAGACCAGTCAGATAACCTCCTTAAGTACGTATAGCTAACGAGGATCTTTTCACACCCTCAGGAGGATATTGGGGGCAGAACTGTTACCATTTGTAACTACTATTTACTCAGCATCTACTAAGTGCCTGGCTATGTGCAAAGACTTTCCACACATTGTTCCATTAATCTTTATAATGGTCCTCTTTCTTTACCAATAGGAAACTGAGACCCAGACAGGTTATGCAACTTGCTGAAGTGCACACAACTTGTACCTGCAGGACTGGGATTGGACCCCAGGTCTCTCTGACTTGCAAGCTTACTCTTTCTCCATGCAGCTTCCTTCAGGGCACAGGTTAGTAGCCTAGTTTAGTGGTGAACTACAGGCAAATAGGTAATTACAATATTGTGTGATAAAGGCTGTGGTGGGGTTACAGTGTGGTGTTATGAGGGCAGTAGAAGGGGGACCTGGGAAATTACTTGGAAGAAGTCATCTAATCAGAGACCTGATGGGATAGGAGGAGCTAGCCAGGGAAGAAAGGGCCAGAGAGCATTTCAAGCTAAGTGGTGCAAGAGACATTCCTGTACCTGGGGGAAATCAGAGTAATTGAACAAGGGCCTTTGGGAAGAAGCATGGCAGGAGATGAAGAGGTGGGCAGGGCAAGAAGAGGAAAGGCGGGGGAGGGCGGAGAAGGGTGGTCAACTAGAAAGAGCTTTGAAAATCTATTGAGGGAGTTAGGAGTTTATCCTCAGACTAATAGGGAACCATTTAAGGGTTTTTAGCCAGGAGGAACACATGTAAAAATTTGCATTTTATAAATACCATCCTTGTAGCTGTGGGGAGAATGGATATGAGAGGTGCTGGAATGGCGGAGAAGTTGAGAATAATTCTCAGATATCTTTCTTGAACAAGTGGACAGAGTGGTGCCATTTACTGAAACAGGGAACAGCTTCAGGAAAAAAAAGTCTACTATACTACCTAGGAGAGCAATTGGATTAATCAGAGCTGACTTTGCACAAAAATTCAGTGTATGTTTAGAATTAACTGGATAGACCTATGTTCATGGTTGTTATCTTTATCAGGTTCAGAATCAGTTTAAATCTTATAAGATTTGGGTATCCTTGTACTCATCTGTATCCTCCCTCATTTAAAAAAATATTATGTACATGGTTTTTTAAAAATTAAATTGAATCATACAAACAACAGTGGCTTTCACAAATTTACTCTTTTAGATGTTTTTCCTTATAAAAAGGAAATATCAACAAGAGATTTTAAAAGTACGTATTTATATCATCGGATTTGCAATTTTCCTAGGTACCGATAATTACTAAAAATGTACAGAATTGAAATAATGGAATTACACAATGCAACTTTTTAACATGAGTATGTTTGCATGAGAAGGAAAATGTTGCCCAAAGTATTTGCTTATTGAATCCTTCCTCTACTCTTTATGATCTTTAGAAAATGTTACTGTTGGTTGTTCTGGGCATTCTGTAGAGCATACAATATTAAAAATACTAAAATTATAGAGCTGGAAAGAAGTTTAGATAATTCAGTTCTCTCATTTTACATTTGAGGCTAATAGGAACCAGAAAGTCCCTATAGTTGAGGAATCTGAGCAAAAAGAAAGTTCACTTTTTAGGTAGGGATATGAAATCACTCTGTGTCCTTGGACACTCACACTATACATGAAAGAAGACTGACAACTTCAATCTTCACGTTTTTTCATTGTAAAGAAAAGTGGAAAAAATAGTATTTTGTGGAGAACACTTGTCTCTTAAATACATCATTGAGTCTTAGCATTTATTTTTAGATGGAATGAAACTTCTCCATAGCTGCTTTGGGAAAACAATGTGGATCAATTTCACATTAAATGTGCCAATAGCATACACATATATAGGATATTGGATTGTAAATTACAAAAATGGAAACCAATTAATAAAAGCTATGATGTGCCAAAGAAATTGTTACCATTAAACATTTGTAGAGCTTAGGGTGTTCGCAAAATATCTGTCATTTGCATAACTGCAATTTCCACACTTCCTAATAATGAAATTTCTTCTTGAAAGTTGATAAAAATATAAAGCACTTTTAAGAGCTATGAATTTCATATACACTTAACAATGTTGTACATTCTAAACAGTCTATACTAGTGTTAAGGTAAAAAAAGGATAAAAATTTATATTTCTATCAGGAACAAAACAAAGTAGGTGAAAAAGTTCATTCAAATAAACTTTTGACTGATAAACCATTTTTTCTAACATGTTCAGTGACTGATCTGAGACAACAGAAAACTACAAATTAAATGTTTAATTCTGCACTATTGGAAATAATAAAGCACTGTAGAGATTCCTCAATAAAGGCAATGTAATATTTAGTGTATCACATGCATCATATATGGCTTAGGCTAGAGTGTATGTGTGAGATAATAGAAAATACAGATTGGTCTCTGTGCCTGGTTCCTAATACAGTGCTCCCCACACCCTTGTAAATTCCTAAGTGATAAGAGCACTAGAGGCATCTTTTGCTCTAATGAAGCGACTCTGGGTGGGCTCCTGGATGGGGTGTGGGGCCTGGTCACCAGAAAGACCAAGTCATACATAGAAGCTTGGAATTTTTAGGCCTGCTCCCCCTTACCCACCACTTCTCCAGAGAGGGGAGAGGGGGTAGAAATGGAGTTAATAATTGATCATGCCTATGTGGGGAAGCCTCCATAACCCTAATAGCATGGTTTGGAGAGCTTCGAACTGAGTGAAGACATACACCTATGGGAAGGGTGATGTACCTGAGTTCCATGGGGACGGGAGTTTCTGTGGTGGCACTCCCAGACCTCTCCCTATGTACCTCTTCATCTGGTGTTCATCTGTATTCTTTATCTTAGCCTTTACTAAACTGGTAAACATAAGTATGTTTTCCCCTGAGTACTTTGAGCTATTACAGCAAATAATCAAATCAAAGGGGAAGAGGGTGATGGGAAATCAAACAAGTTGTGGGTAACCTCGGGACCTGCTGCTTGGGATTGGCATCTGAAGTAAGGTGGGAGCAGTCTCCTGGGACTGAGCCCTTAACCTCTGGGATCTGACCCCATCTCCAGGTAGACAGTGTTAGAATTGAGTTAAATCGTAGAATACCCAGCTGGTGCTGTAGAGAATTGCTTGGTGTGGGGAAAAACTTCCACACATTTGGTGACCAGAAGTGAAATGTTTTCTGTGAGTAGCAAAGGAGAAACACAGGAGAAAAAGGAGAACTGTACGTTTATCCAATGCACTGTTTCTCTCCTAGGGCCCTTCATGCTTGAGCGTCTCTTGAAAGACAATGGAACTCATCATAAACTTTTAAACTTGTTATTCTTTTCTCTCCAAGAAAATATAAAAAGGCAACCTCCTCCATTTGTATTTTCTCCCAACTGCATATTGCTGTAGAGATTCCATATATTTCTGGTGTAATTCCATTCTGAGGCCCTCTTAATGGCGCGGCCCTGTGAAAAATGTAGAGGACCAGTTCATTCGGGGCAGTTGCTGGATGACACTGTAAGCACTTAAAAACAACTCAGGTGTATTTAACCTCCTTTCCTGGGACATTTAAAGAAAACGAGGCTATTTTGTTGTTAAGTTGCCCCACCAAAACGAGCAATAATATATCAGTCTAGTAAAAGACCTGGCCTTCTAAGCCATCAGTACCATCTATCCTCGAATCTGCTCGGCTTCCACTGCCCACTTCCCTAAGGTTCCGCTTGTGGTTTTTTAACCCATGTCCTAACAGCTTTTTCCAAGAGGACCCAGATGGCAGTCGGTAAACGAGCCTGACTCGGGGGTGGGCTGGGGTGAGGGTGGGGTTGGGTTTGCGGTCCTCTTCCCACCTGGGCTCGCGGCTGGGGAGCTGAACGCCCAGCGTAGGACCGGGCGTCTCCTGGATCCAGACTCAGGGTGCACAGCGAGGTGGAGAGGCAGGAACTCGTCTATAGAAAGAAGCATTTGCGTACGTGACACCGTTTCTCAAACTTGCACGCGAGGGCACCTCCCTGCAGCTGGCTACCCCGAGGGTCTCCCTGACCCCCGCTAAGTTTATTTTAAAGTCGTGTATTATTTTAAGATTGCATGTAAATGATACATTTACTTCCACAGCCTATACTTACTAGTTTCAATATAAAATTAAGAGTTCCATTTCCCCCACCTCCACGCACTCATTTCCTTTCTAGCTGCAACGCCAGGCTTGCGGCCCCTTCCCCACATCCCACCCCCACCCCCAATCCGGGCTCACTGCGCGGGGCGCGGTCGGGTCGTGGTCGGGGCGAGGGGTCGCATTTTGCGGAGCCCCAGGGGAGGAAACCTAAAGGGTCTTCAGCCCGAGAGGCGGGGCCATGGGCGTGTCCTCCCCAGACCCCCGCCCACCCTGCCGCCTCCCGTGAGGCCGCGAGCGCGCGGCGTCCCAGAGGACGGCGAGTCCGGAAGCTCGCAGGTGGCCGCGCCCGGGTGGCCGAGGGGAAGGCCCTGGGGGGCGGCCTGAATCCTGGCGCGCGTTTGCGGACTGACCCTGTGCGTGACAAGGTAACGGCCGCTCAGGAGCCCGCCTGCAGGAGCCGGGGCCGCTTCTCCCGCAGGGGCTACTCGGTGTGCTGGTTCCGAAAAGCCGCGGGCGCAGAGGTGAGCCAGCCATCGCTGAGGCCCGCCTCTTCCTCGAATTCGCTGGCATTGCTTAGCGAGGATAATTGTCGCCTTCCTTTTCCTGGGAACCGTGTCTAGTAGCCTACTGACCCATCCTGCTTTCTTTAGTCAGCTATGAGTAAGAGATGTCAATTTGGTTTCCAAAATTAGGAGATAGAACCGGGGTAGGAATCTAGATTTTCTATATTTGCCTCTGGAAAAAGCAAGAATCAGAGAAGTGGCCCCTGGACTTTAAGTGGTGCTCCAAGTGTGGGGTGTACCTGTGGGAAGTCTCTCTTGCTTGAGGAAGACTGGTTTCATAACTGAGGTCACACAGCATAGAAGAGAGAGGGGCTTTTTTATTTCGGTTTTCCTGTCACAAACTGGATGAAGAATCCGTCTATTAAGGGTCTCCCAGAGAAGTAAAAAACAGCTGATAAGATAGCACCATTCCAACTCTTTAAGGAAAAACCCAGAAATATTTTTCCTTGCTTGATTTAGAACTCGGGAAAAATGTCAGATAAAATGATGTATCTACCTAGGCAGTCACCTAGATGTGGAATCTTTGGATTGCCCTTAATGAAGTAATGCTGGGGCAAAAATCTCATTGAGTCCAGGTGAGGATAGCACTTGGGCAATGAGACACCTGGTGTGGGGACCTCTGAGGACACAATAACAGCAACAAAAACATGATATTTATCGAGCATTTACTATGTGCTTATGCGTGATTCTAAGCAAATTACATATACTATTTAATACAAAGTGAGATTCTGAGTGCTTAACTGCATTATTATTTAGTTTTGACAAGCATATGAAGTAGCTGCTATTATTAGTCCCATTTTACAGATGAGAAAACTGAAACATGGAGTTTTTCAGGTAGGTGGGTGGCCATATTCTCCAGCTGCTAAGAGTATAGGCTGCCAACAGCTCACAGCTGTGCCTTCTCTCAAGAATAGCCCTTGTTAATGGAACTGCCTCACTGGGAAATGCCCAGGTGGTTACAGCCCAAGACTTGCAGGTGTGGTCTGTAGCTGAAGGAAGATTGCTAGGAAGACACCTCCTGCCTCAAAAGGGAATAGCTTTGCAGTGTCGTTCATACTCCACAGCTGCCTGTGGGATCAGGCTGGGGATACAGCTGGACCTACATCTTTGCTTGGCTTCTTCCCTTTCCTTGTTCTGCTCGCCCCACTTCCCTCTAGATTTCACCTGAGAACCTCAGATCACTAGCACAAGCATCCTTATCTCAGGCTCTGCTTCTGTGAAACCCGACATAACACAGCTACTCTGCTGCACAGGCATACCTCAGATTCGGTTCCAGACCACTGCAATAAATTAACTGTCACAATAAAGTGATTCACATGAATTTTGTTTGTTTCCCAGTACATATGAAAGTTATTTTTACACTATAGTCTATTAAAAGTGTGTGATAGCATTTTATCTAAAAAATGTACATACCTTAATTGAAAAATACTTTATTGTTAAAAAATACTAACCATCATCTGAGCCTTCAGCAAGTCATAATCTTTTTGCTGATAGATTTGCTCAATGCAGGGTTGCTACAAGCCTTCAATTTGTAAAAACCAAAACCAAAACCAAAAAATCCCCACAGTATCTGTGCGTTACAATAAAAAGAGGTATGTCTGTACTGGGTTGTGAAGTTTTCAGAATTTTATTCTTTATTCCCTAATGATAAGTCTATGGAAAGACAACTCATTAGTTTCAAACATATATCAGATGACTTTCTCTTATAGTTAACACAATGAAATATATTAAGGAAGCTATGCTGCTAAAATACTACTTTGTGTAAAGGAAATAATAGAATGGCTTCTTTTAGATGCCAGTTGATAAAGAAAACCCTATTCCTACCAGGGATGGAGATAGCCAGAGTAGGTGACAGATAAGTAGTTATGCATTGAGTTCTTGATTGATGAAACTGGTTATGAGAAGGAAATGTGTTAATGCTGTTTTTAAAAGCTTTATGGAGAAACAGTTGACGTAGTGAAAGTGTACGTTTTGATACGTTGATATATGCATATACCCACAAACTATCACTACAGTCAAAATGATGAAAATAGACTTCACTCCTCAAAGTTTCCGCAGCCCCTTTCTGGTTCCAGGCAACCACTGTTTTTTGTTTTTGTAACATAAGGTTGAAAAAGACTTTAGAGGTCATGAGCTTCAGTTGTTCAGTAGCTGGGCATGCCTGAACACAAGGCATGCGGGGATTTCCATGGGCTAAAACTAGGAGGAATGTTGAAGTAACTGGGGCCAGGCTGCCATCTGCTCATAGGAAAGGAGATGCATGCAAAGTTTGATGCTGATGATAGCTTTGGCATTCAAGGCACAGATCTCATGTGTGACAAATTCTGATGAGGTTCAGGTAGACCTTGGGATTGGGACAACTTGGGTTTTGTGACAGGTTAAAGGAGGCCGTGTGAGGGAGTGATGCCGTCCTTGAAATACACAACCAAAATAAAAACATAACAAACTCAACTCTCCACCCAAACTCAGAACTGCAAGCTTGGGACTGGACAAGGAGTCTCCTGGTGGGTGGGGCAATGGATTTCTGCCCTTCAGGTTTGACATTCTCTTGGCTCTCTTATTGATTGCTCCTGGCTACGTGAGACATACTTGCCCATTTTAACTCTTTGGCTCAAGTTTGCTACCTCATAGTCCAGCTCAGACATATTTAGAATGTTCTGAGGCACTGCTGAAGGCTCTGGCAAAAGCAGCAGAGTGCCATAGTTCTAGATAATCTGGCATTTCAAACCTAATTTTCTCATCTTTGCTTTATGGTTCTTTGTCTCGTGCCTGGAAATCCCTTTCTTTGGCTCCTCAAAGTTCAACCAACCCAGTTCACCACTAACTCCTTTCTCCTCTCATTCCTTTGCTCCTTTCTAGAGGATTCTTAGAGCACAACAACTGATGGTTAGCTTCATAATCCAGCTCTTGATCTAGCTCAGTGGTCTAGATCTCAACGGTCTGTATCAGTGCTGTCCAACAGAAATACAGTGCAAGCCACAAATGTGAGCCACACATGTAATTTTACATTTTTAGTGGCCACTTTAAAAAAAAAGGGAGAGAACAAACAGGTGAAATTATTTCTTAATAATATATTTTCAACCCAGTGTCTCCAAAATATGATCATTTCAACAAGTAATCTATATAAAAATTATTAATGAGATGTTTTACATTCTGTTTTATACCAAGTCTTTGAAGTCCACTGAGTACTTTACTTACAGCACATCTCAATTTGTATGAATGATATTTACATATTGGACAGTGTGAGTCTAGATATAGGCCTGGATCTAAAATTAACTAAGTATTCTAAGGGAAGAGAGGAAAAATAGGAGTTTTGTTTTGGATACACTGAGTTTGGGGTACTGGTAGCATCCCTGTGGACAGTGACAGTAAGCTTTTGGAAATGCAGTTCTAGAGCAGTAAGACAGCATCTTCCTTGGTTTTTGAATCCATACCTTAGAGTTTTCCACCAGATCCTAACTTGCACGTTAAACTGTGTATGTTCTACTCCAGTCAGTTCATCTCCATGTTGACTGATTTTCTTCACGTTTTCTCTGCCAAACAAGTACATATCACATACATTTTTCTATACATTTATATCATCTCTCCTTCAGGTACCCTGGAAAGGGTCAAGCAGAAGAATGGCACCGTTTTACTTCATGAAGAACCATTCTGTGAATGAACTATTATTCAGCATAAGCAATTAGTGTAAATATAACTTGGTTAGTATTTTAAAATCTGCATCCTAATTAATAGCTATCTAGAATAGCGAAATTTGTAATATCTTAAAAAATTTTTGTCTAATTGTAAAAGTAATACATAAAAATGATATCACGTTGGTTAAAGGTTAAAAAAAGGATGACAATACTCAGTATTTCAAGCATGTGAAGAAATAGACACCTTTATATGTTGTGAATGTAAATTTCTACAGGGATTTTGGAGGGCTGTTTGGCAATATGTATTACAATTCTAAATGTGTATACCTTTGCTTCTGCAATTTCAATTTTAGAAATTTATGCCATAAGAATGACTGGGTAAGTGCCCAGATTTGTGTGTGCAGGAGTGTTGATTCTATTGTTTTTGTTTTTTTAAAAAGGAAGCAACTTATATTTCAACAACCATTTATTGGGCACTGTAGTAGGTATGGGGCTACAACAATTAATCAGACATAGATGGTCTCTGCTCTCATATAGCTTGTGGTTTAGGAAAGAAGACAGCCAACTAAACATTTATTGAGCGCAGTCTGATGGTATAGACTGTGGTTGAAACACATTTGAGGGGAGCTGAACCCAGACTTTGGGAGGAAG